CTATAATTAAACAATGGAAGAAGGGAGAAACCGTCTGTGAAGTCCCTATTATCACACACACAACGCCTATTATATCATTTTTGCGTTTTGGCACCCACCAACGTTCAAAGTCAAACTTGCTTAATATTATTATGAATGACTCAAGCCATCCCACTTTTTTTCACTATGATTGTGATGGTGGATCTGCAAAGAAAATTATAGCTGAAGGAATGGTTGAAATTGCATGGTACTTACCATCACTTACAAGCAAGTCGTTTAACGATCCAGTAACATTTTTGAATATGCATGGTGATGCACGTAACTTTCCCAAACAAGTAAAATTTCTTAGGGAGATATCGTTCATGCATTTCGTGTTATTAGATGAAGAAGCAATGGACGAAGTAGGATGTGAAATATTGCAGACTCTTTCGAATGCACCTGGAGGGGTTGTACTGTTGCAAAATCAAAAGGCAGTAGGAAAGCAATTCACAATGTCCCCAAAATATGTTGTTATTAAATTAAATGAGAAGAATGTAGCCGACACAAAAGCCGAAATTAGAAAAACAATAAGAGATAGTATTGGAAAACAGTGGGATGACAAGTCTGCATCAAAATCCCCTCCTGGATACAAAGATGCGGCTTTAAAATGTGGAATAAATGTTGATGAAGACAAACAAGAATGTGCTGAAGGAATATCACTTGCTGCTGACTTCCATACCTTGATTATGGGATTAGAAGAAACAAACCCCAAAGAACTACTTGAACTTCAAGGAGTAAATCTTTGGCACAAGATTGCCTTAATGGAAAAAGAAAGATATCGACGAAGAGGAAGGCATGGGGTAACTGTTGCAAAGCACACTGAGAAAGTGATGAATGACATAAGAGTATTACGCGAACAACAACATGATTGCATTTTTAAAATGAGTGAAAATCCATTGATAAATTTGTTTATCACAACTCTATGCAACTTGTCAGAAAAACCAGTCGTTAGGAGTTATTATCTGCGATGGCTGAAAATGCTCCTTGACAATCTATCACGTGAAAAGCTTCCACCTCTACATAGAAAGTATCACCAGAAAAGGGCAGAGTTGCAAAAGGCAAAGGGACAAGCTATTGAAAGCTGCAAGATGGAACTAGAACAGTTAAATACACAATTGATAAATACATCATTTGGATTGGAACACCTCCTAAGGGAAGTTGGACAGGTATATGAAGCAACGGCATTTTTTGAAATAAATAAATATGACCACCTTCCTAGTATTGCTGCATCATTATTGATTGATGGCTACCCATTAGAACTAATGGATGGAGATGCTGCACATGTCCCAATGAAATGGGTATCAGCAGTTTTGCTAAAGGTAAAGGAATCTCTTAAAAATCCCAAAATTCTGGTACTTTCTGTCCTTGGAATTCAAAGCACAGGAAAATCTACCTTATTAAACACAGTCTTTGGAGTTAACTTTAGTGTTAGTGCTGGAAGGTGCACAAGAGGGGCATTTATGCAACTCCTACCTATTCACAGCAGTGTGACAAAGGTTAACAACTGCAGTTACCTCCTCTTGGTTGACACAGAAGGACTCAGAGCTCCAGAATTGGATGCTACACAAACACATGACCATGACAATCAACTTGCCACTTTTGTCATCGGTTTAGCAAACTTCACAGTCATAAACATATATGGAGAGGTTTCAGCTGATATGAATGATATCCTGCAGACAGTAGTTCATGCTTTTTTGCGCATGAAGCACGTAAATGACTTACATCCAGGCTGCCATTTTGTTTACCAAAATGTGACCGGTGTGATGACCGTTGAAAAAGGAAGGATGGGCAGAGGCAAAATTAAAGACCACCTTGATAAAATTACTAATGTTGCTGCTAAAGAAGAGGGCTTAGAAAGAATTTACACTTGTTTCAGTGATGTGATAAAATTTGATGATGAAAAAGATGTTTCCTACTTTCCGAGTCTTTGGTTCGGAAATCCACCCATGGCTCCTGTCAATCCAAGCTACAGCAGGCATGCAAGAATTCTTAGGAACGAATTAGTAGGGTGTGGTATTCCAAAAAAAAGGCGCCCTATAATTAAGTTTTCAGATTTTGTCAACTATCTTAAACATTTCTGGAATGCTATCTTGAGTGAAGATTTTGTTTTTAGCTTTAAAAATTCCTTAGAAATTTCTGCTTTTTCTGCACTGGATAACCAGCGCAGCAAGTGGTACTGGAGTTTCCAGAAAGATATGATGAATTGGGAATATGATTTTGAAACTGAAATTTGCAATTATAGAGGAAGTAATCCTGCAGAAGCACATAAAAAGGCAAAGCATAAGCTTTTTACCAATGCAAAAAAGAAATACAGTAACTTGATTGATGAAATGAACACATTTTTTGAGGAGAGTACTGAAAAAGAAATACTCATAAATTGGGAGGCTGAAACAGGAAGGCTTTTAAATAGGTTGCACATTGAACTAACAAGTCGTGCCGAACAATACTGTGAAAGAGTTTGGCGAGAAAAAAGAGTGCAGGAGAGACTGAATGAAATAAAAAGTAGTCATCACCTTGTAATATCAGAAAAAGTTAGAGAAGTGGTGTCACATTTAGACAGTGAAGAACCACTAAAAGAACCTGAGTTGAAAGAAAAATTTGAAGAACAGTGGAAGGACTGGATAAAAGAACTGGAAAAATTGCAAGTGAGTCAGCTCCAAGAGAGACATAATATAGAAGAGGATATGGAAAAAGCACTTGACCAACACACTGAAGAAAGGCACTCAAAAACACTAACTACAAAGATGTCCCCTCAAGATGGGGGAAAGTCTATTGAATGTTGGGGTTTAGAGTTGAAACTAGAGCTTAAAGAAGAGCATATCAAAGATACCCGAACACGAAGCTTGAAGCAGGATATGATAGATGGTGGTTTGTCTCTGGGTATGTCTTTGGGTATATTGAATAAAAGAGAATACTGGAGACCTCTAGCGGAAAGTGAAACCGAATACTATCTAAAAGAAGTCCATAAATATTTGCAAAGTAGGCAAAACAAAGATTATAAACCTACTTTTGTGGCTGAACTTCTACAATTATTGCAAAAAGAGATCAGTACTTTCAATTCAAGGTCTGAAGCTTTTCAGTTTACTTATGAGTACTATATGGATATATTCCTTACCGCATGTGGATACGCACTCCCTAAGTTTAAAGATATGGCAGTAAGACATCAAAATAAACATGATCCAGTAAAGTGTCTTGAAGCAGAAAAGGAAAGGTATTTTCAACAGTTTAAAGATTCTTATATGAGAACAGCGCAGGAAATAATCGCAGCTAGACATTGCTGTGAACTTGTTGAAGGTGCGATTGAAAAGAGGGTTATTAAAAACCTTTGTGTGACAGTAGTTGAAAAGATGGAAAAGGATGACGAAAATTCGTTCCTATTCACTAAACCAGCCTTGATAAAAAGGGTGTTAGGATTTATTGGAGGTGAGCTGAAAAACAGAAAGTTTGAAACATGCTCTAATTACTTAAGGCATCCTATGGAAACTCTTCAGGATTATGTCAAGAAATACACTGAACAATATTGTGATGATGGATATCCTTGCTCACGCTTAACTGTGTATGCAAGAGAACTTTTAAAAGAACTAATGTTATTTATAACAAATATAGTGGATGAAACAAGTCAGAATCATGAAGAAACCTTTATTGTACTAGAATGGGTTGAGCAGTTTAAAAAGAGTGCTTCAAAACTGCTTATAATAGAGGATACTATTGCTATACGATGTGTATTGACTACAAAGCAGAGCAATCACAATATAGATGTATTCACTGCTGAGCTCATGAAAGGATTGAAGATTGTTGAAGATAATATAACACAAAAATTAACACTTAAAGCAAAAGATATGGAGATGTGGGACCAGAAGCCTTATGACATCATATACGACAGAGTAAGTGGTTGCAGAGATGCATGTCCATTTTGCAGGGAGCCTTGCAGCAATACTAATAGAGATCACGATGGTGACCACACTGTGAAGTTACATCGCCCAATCTGCCTTGGTGGATGGCGCAGTCGATCAACGGGGAAAATGACATTAGAAACATGTACTGAAGAAGTTGCTAATAATCGCTGCTTTTATGTCAAACCAGACTCTGATGAAAAACATCCATTCCGAACTTGTGAAGAGATATATCCCAAATGGCACATACAGGAAGATTTACCAGGAGAAACAGCACTCTACTGGAAGTATGTTGTTGCCCACTTTAAGATTGAACTGGCTAAGCTGTATGGGATGAAAGAAGATTCAGTTCCTGAACATTGGCTGGGATTTGAGTTATCACAAGCAATTGAAGCTCTGTAGGATAAGTGTAGTACAACATTAATTAGTAAATATTTCACTATTATTATTTGTACTACTACGCATGCAAGCAAAAACCAACTTCTCTAAAAACGAAAGAACTATACCATAGGACCAGTTGTAATTGCAAGCTTGCGACGTAATGTGTAATTTTAGTCGATGTGAATATGAGCATGTTATCAAACTTAAAATGGATGCCAAAATTACTTACCCAGCACGCTTAAGGCACGCTAAAATTTGTGTGTATATAATTATTATGATGCCTATATAAAGGCACAAAGAATAGATTATCCTAACTCACTACTGAAGCATGTTGGGAAAATTCAATATAATCACATCAGTACATAGATCAACTCTTTCATTTTCAACACCTCTAACGTTTTCATGACAACCAACTCAGCCTGGCATAAGCATTATTAATTGCAAGTGAAAAAATCATTTCTTCAAAATTAAAGGGGGATATATCAGAGCGTCGGTAGACGCTCTATGTAGGGATGACACGGGTCAAATCTCACGTGATCCGCGTACAAAACGCTTCAAAACTCGGCGAGAACGCCTAGCTATGCCTTTAAAATGCACTACAAGTCACTCACGGGCCCATATCTAGCTATACATATGACCAAAAGTATCATACGTACCTGCAATTCTCAAGACGAGAATCCGCTCTTACGCGATTTCACAATTTTTGTGTCATCATATTCTTCATCTTCTTCTTCTTCTTTAAACCCGCTATCTCCTTTCTGGAACAAGGTGATGCGCCGAATTTTTCACTAAACGTGTCCGGTGATGGTGGAGATGTGCATCGTCGGTAAGCGATCTATGTTTTCTTGCCGCCAAGCGCTACGAAAGATCAGTGGCGGACAACACAACAGACAGAAAACCACGCCATTTTTCACTCATGTTGGCGGCCCAGCCAGACTCCACCCACTTGCGCAAGCGCTTCAGCCCCTCGATATAAAACCGCGTGGTGTCGCGGCGAACCCCCGCTCTCGTCGTTGAGCTCTGTTGCCCGTTGTTAGTGGCAGTGAACTTTATTTTACGTCTTCGCCCGTGTTTCCACTGTGCTGCCGAGTCTGTTTACCACTGGACACGCGTCATCGAATTTTCTCTGATTTTCTTTGTTGGACACGCGTCGGGTCCGTACGCGGCAGTTGATCCTTTTGGACTAGCTGCATCAGTCTTGGTAAGAACCAGCTATTGTGTGTATCTACCATCCAGTTCATTGCGACTTCTCTTGCTAGGTTCCCGGATCCCCACGGCACTGCTGTGTCAATTCGCCGTGGCCGTGCTAGATTTCGTGCCACGCTCTTTTTGTTCAGAAGTAAGTGTAGTTAATATGACGAAAATGGTCGTGTACCATCCCGTTATACTCCTAGCTCTGTACTCTACTGGCCCCTGCTGCTACCAACTTTTATTCGTGGAGTTGGGGCCACATTATACTCAATTTCTTCTGAAGGTAACCTTTGCAAAGTTGTTTGCCCCTCATTGCCTTTTTGCTTTTTCTAGCTGTTTTTTTCAAGGTGCCACGCGACACTCCTTCCGTGCCTGGGTGTACCCACCGGCCCTGCTTGGAACTCGTGCTGCACCTCGTGCCTGTGCCCCTAACGTTCTCCTCCTACTTTGACAGTCGTCCCAAACCTTCTCCGTCTCCTACTTCGACAGTCGTCGTCATAATAACGCAACCACTGTGTGCCGTTTTGTGTTCTCGTCCTCTAGCTACAACTACTTTTCGGACACTAACAAGAAACGCCTTTCCAATCGCCTCTATACCACCTCCACTGCACTGCCCTCTACCACTGCTCTGCTGACTGTCAGTCACTGCCACCCGGGCTTCTTCGTTTGAGATAAGTTAAAAATGCCTTACCGCTGGAAACGAAAAAGGAGGGCATATTTTAACAACTATTATGTGCAAAATTCACAGAATATGAAGGCTAGAGGTAGATCCCTTTATTGGTCAGACTCTGATAAGATAAAGGCGGTGGCTAGGACCTCCTATCAGGCTGATCCTAAAAGGAAGAAGGCAGCTGTTAGGGCCTTATATTGTGCTGATCCTGATAAAAAGAAGGCAGCTGTTAGGGCCTTATATTGTGCTGATCCTGATAAAAAGAAGGCAGCTGTTAGGGCCTCATATAGTGCTGATCCTGATAAAAAGAAGGCTGTTGTTAGAGCCTCATATCATGGAAACCCTGCAAAAAAGCGTGCAGCTACCCAGGCAGCTTATAAAGCTAACCCAGAAAAAATGAAGGCATTGTTTCGGGAGTATCATGCCTCACACCGCAGTGCCAGGCTAAGGTATTTCAGGAAGTATCACAGCTACACCAAACTAAAGAGAGTGACAAAAAGGCTAGATACAGTTTGGCGCAGCCTAACCAACTGATGATTGAACAGTGTTATAGGAGTGTTAACGCCAACCTGCTAGCTGACGGTAAGGTTTTGTTGAAACTCAAGGAAGAGTTCAAGTCCCTGCATGCTGGTGTAGCAGATACACTGAGTAAGGCAGAGTTGGAAAAGACAGTGGGTAGACTTGCAGTTAAAAGACTGGTTTGCAAAGCCTTACAAATACGCAGGAAACATGCAGGGTTTTTGCTGGCCAGCGTTAAGCTGATTAAGTCTATTACACTTAAAGAACACATTGACTTTGGAAAAGGCTGCCACACTAGTATGACAGAGCCTTACTTTTATGAGGCAGCCTACCTGCATGTTAGAGAGTCCCCAATCCCTGTTAATGAGAAGGGGGAGGGCATTGTTGCTAAAGAAGTGCCTATGGAGGCTGGCAGTAAGAATGAAGAAGGTAAAGATGCTGCCTCCAACAGTAACCTTTCTCAGGCTGGGAGTGTGGGTTGTGTTTCAGATGGGAAAGTTTCTGACAAGGGACCTGCCCAGTCTAAGATGTGGGAGTGCTCAAAGCAGTGCAAACCACTAAGTGAATTTGAGGTCAATGCCATTGTTTGTTTTAGGACAGCTTTTGAGCAGCCTGTTGAGAAAGTGAGGCAGGCCCTGGCTGAATGTGATATGGGTTGCCCCTATGGTCACTACACCAAATTAGTGGGTTCTCTGCCTGTGGACCTTAAAGGACACCCCATTGTTTGTTACTCTGGTGACTACTGTACTAGTACCCTGAGAATACTCAGAGCAGCTTCCACTCATTTCCCTGTTTTGAGGAGGTTTTTGGCCCATGTGACTTCTGCTCTGAGTGCTCACAGGATTGTGTACGATATTGACAACGCTTTGAAGAATGGTAACCACCAGAGATTGCTACAAATCACACAGGTTGAGTCCCTTCTGAGTTGTAATGTAGAACAGAACTATCAAAAGCTCACTCCTGTTGATAGCTCAGCTCTTAGGAGGCCTAATATAGAGATGGAACTAGCTATTGCTCATGCAGCTTCGATTGCTGGGTTTGAGAAGGAAATTGATGACTTCCCAGAGCATGCATGCATTTGCTGTGAGCGTCTGCATCAGAGAAAGTCAGTGTCTGTTGTTAGTCTCTCTGATGACTTTAACTCTGAGATATGGCATCAATTAAAGGCACATATTTTGAAGTATCCTCCAACTGTTGCAGGTCAAGTGTTATACATTTGCTATTACTGCAAGCGCAGGGTGAGAGCTGGGATAATGCCTGCACGTTGTGTCCTCAATGGTCTGCAGACTGTTCCCATTCCCCCAGAACTGGCTGCATTAGACCTACTTAGTAGACAGCTTATCCAGAGGGCCAAGTGCTATCAGACTGTTGTGAGATTAGGTACTTACACTGGTAAAGTGCCCAGATACAATTCCCTGCAGGCCTGCAAAGGCACAATGTTTTTCCTTCCCTTACCACTAAACAAGACCACAGAAACCTTAAACAAGGTTCAAGAGCATACCTCTCTCCTACCAGACCCAGAGTTGTACATTATTGTCAATGGTAGGCCAACCAAGAGTAATGTTGTGTGGCGTAGTTTGGTGGATGTGAACCATGTTAAGACTGCAATAACAAAGTTGAGGTCCTGTAACTGGCTCTGCAGAGATGTCAGTGAGAAATGCATTGATGAGAGCACTAAACACATCATTGAGGTCTCTAACAAAGGCTCTCCATTGGTTCAGACTTAGAGCAGTACAGACTTATGAGCATCACAGAGGACCCTATTACCAACAAGCAACAGCATTTAGATGTGATGTGTTTCCCTGTGCTCTTCCCAACTGGGAAGTTTGGAGAGTTCCACCCTAGGAAAGAGAAGATTTCCCCTAGTGAGTACGTCAAATCTAGGCTGCTTAACAAGGACTCGCGTTTCCGTAAAGGTGCACAGTATGTGTTTTATCTTTTGTGGCAGAAGGAAATGCGACAACTCGCATTAGGTGTTTACAATTTGTTGAAGAGTACCAGGAGACAGTCCATGTCTGTTAACTTGTTACTAGAGCAGGTGAACACCGCAGATGAGCAGCTAGAAGCACGTTTGTGCACCATGCTCCAGTCAGTCTGTGGTACCAAACAGTTCTGGTTCCTCAGACACAGTGAGCTCAAGTGCATGATAAGAGAGTGGGGCTCGCCTACCCTTTTCCTCACCTTTAGCTGTGCTGAGTATGAGTCCCCTGATATCACTGAGTTTCTTAGGAAAGTGAACAACGTTCCTCCCAGTTACAACATTGGGAAGCTGTGTGTTGAGGACCCAATCTCAGTTTCCAGGAAATTTTCCCTCAAATTCCATGCCTTTTTCCGAAAGATCATTTTGAAAGGTCAGGTCCTGGGTATTGTAGACCACTTTTATTGGAAGAAGGAGTATCAGAATCGTGGGGCTCCTCATTACCATGTCCTACTCTGGATTAGAGATGCACCACTCATTGATAGAGATGATCCCGAGAAGGTGCTAGACTGGATCCAGGATAGAATCACCTGCCACATCCCAGATGAACAGGGTAGCCCTGAGCTGCACATACTAGTCACCAGGTACCAGATGCACAAGTGCAGCAAGTACTGTAAGAGGCGGAAAAGGTGTGGCAAGACAGCATTCATCACCAGGTGTAGGTTCGGGTTTCCCAGGCCAGTGTGTGAAACTGCTCAGCTCAAACTAGTCCAGGAGAGCCTGAAATCCCGTAACCGAATTTACCAGTTGGTCCGTACTCTGGCTGAAACAAGGGTGAATGACTACAGCCCACTGCTATTGATGCTGTGGAAGGCTAATATAGACATTCAGTTTGTAGCCGAAGCCTCTCTAGCTCTTGCTCACTATGTCAGTGGCTATGTCACCAAGGCTGAGCGTAGTAACATGCAAGACATCTGGCAGGAAGTTAGTGACACTAAGAGCATTTACAGTCGCCTTTTCAGCTTTGGTGTTAGAAGTTTACGGTTCAGAGAGTGTGGTCTGTATGAGGCCAGTGATCTACTGCTGGGAGACCACCTCACTGAGAAGTCTGACACAGTCAAGTGGGTAGACGTCTCCATGCCACACAAGCAATCCCGTAGACTGAAGAACCACAAAGTCTTACAAGAAATGGCTAGGCTGAACCCAGATAGTCAGAACATATTTGAGGATAATGTCTTAGATACATTCTATCCTCAGAGACCAGCCACCCTTGAGAATGTTTGTTTGTATGACTTTGTAGCCAATTATGAGTTTCAGGGTGTTGACACAAATGGTCAGAGAGTATACAAGAAACTTGGCAAGCCTAAACTCCCTAACCACAAAATCTTTGACCCTGAAAATGAGAACCAGAAACAAGATTACTTCTACTCTCTAGTGTTACTGTTCTCTCCATATAGAGACGAGAGTAGTTTACTGCAGAGTAATGAGACAGCTGAGCAGGTATTTCATAGACTACTCACTAGCCAGAGCTCAAGCTACCACTCGAAGCTGAGGACAATGTTGGCAGCAGCATTAAATGTAAAGAGCATTAATGAAGCACGTCAGGCCAACATGGAAGAAAAAGAAGCTAAAGAAGACAATCAGCCTCAGCTGCTAGGTGAAGCTAGAACAGCCGTGACTGAAGTTTTAGACATGAAAGCCAGTACCCCTGGTCAGCTGACTCTAGATGAGAGAGTGTCCATGCTGAATCAGGACCAGAAGAGAGTCTTTGAGAACATCAAGGCTCACTTCCTGCACCAAAAGTGTCATGAGGCAAAACAGTGTTCGTGTGATTTTGCACCTCTTAGATTGTTTGTTAGTGGTGTGGGTGGTACTGGTAAATCCTTTCTCATTGAGGCCATCAAGGCCCTAGTGAACGGTCTGTGGAATAGTGAAGGCCTCCTCTGTGGTATTGCAGCACCAACTGGGCTTGCTGCATTCAATGTCGGAGGTATCACTATCCACAGACTCTTCCAACTCCCTGTTGAGCATGCTACCAAAGCCACTAGCTATTGGCCACTGCCCAAAACATCCCAGAAGGCCATGAGAGCAACTCTCTCTGAAGTGAAGATGTTTATTATAGATGAGATTTCCATGGTTTCCAGTATCAACCTGGCTTTTGTACACATGAGACTAGACGAGTTGTTTGGTAGCAGTGAGTGGTTTGGGTCTCGGAACATGCTGTTTGTAGGTGACCTCCTCCAACTCCCACCTGTCCATGGGAATCCTGTTTTTGAGAAGGTTGCCACTAAATCAATCCTGTCCCAACTAGGGTGTGCAGCTGCCATCAATATTTGGAGAGATTGTGTTACGTATGATGAGTTGACTATCAATGAACGTCAGAAAAGTGATCCACAGTTTTCCTCCATGTTGGACTGTGTGAGACGTGGTTGTCCAACCAAGGAAACTGTGAGTGTGTTGAAACAGAGGGTCATACAGGTGTCTGTCTCAGACAAGTTTTCTGAGCTAAAACAGTATGGCAAGGCACCTGTTTGCTTATTTCCCAAGAGGAAAGCGTGTGATGGCCTAAATGCGCAAATGCTCCGCAAGAATGCTTCCGAAGTGCATGACATTTATTGTAATGATGAGATTGACGAAACAGCAGGCAATAGGAAGATGACCAAGAAGATCATTGAGCATTTGGATAAACTGAATGCTGACTGCAACATGACAGCTAGGTTGGAAGCCAAACTGTCTCTTGCAGTTGGTGCACGAGTCATGCTACGTCGCAACATCGATACCAAGGCTGGGCTGGTCAATGGTGCTATTGGTACAGTGCTGTCAATAGCAGCCCAGCATGTGACAGTGCAGTTTGATAATGTACCTGCTCCATGTAAGATTGATAAGGTCAGAAGCAGGTTCATGGTGATGAAGAATTTCTATGTGTATCGTAGACAATTCCCTCTCATTTTAGCCTATGCAATTACCATCCACAAGTGTCAGGGTCTGTCATTAGACTGTGCCATAGTAGACCTGTCTGAGGAGGTATTCAGTGATGGAATGGCATATGTGGCTCTATCCAGGGTTAGGTCACTAGATGGTCTGTTCCTAACAGCCTTTGATCCCCAGTCCATCAGTGTTAGTGTGAGTTCCCTGGGGGAAGTAAACCGCCTCAGAAAAACCCATAGACCTGATCTTCCTCTGTATGATATACCACACATCTCTAAAAGAAAGAGGAAGCTCACTGGTGTAGACAAAACTGTTTCCCCAAGTGTAAAAAAGGTCAAGGTGAATCCCTCATCTGCAAGGGATAATGAGGACTGTGTTATTACAGGTACAGAAACACCTGCTGCTAGTCCTTTCAATTTCCACTCTGTAGATGTACAGTGGCAGCAAAGTGCATGCCAAGAGCTGGGCCTCCAATACTGTACACAAACACCAGTAAGACCAGGAGGACCCGCTGTCCCCCTCACACGTAACTGGAACAAGTGGAAAAATCATTTCTTCAAAATGAAGGGGGATGTAGGGATGGTGTAAATTATGAAAAAGGATGCCAACAAGAAAATGCTTCAGCCGACAACAAAAATCGTACATCCATCCCTACATCTTTCTTTACAGTCACAACCTCTACTGTGATAATTATGTTGTGAATAATGTATCTTACATACTCTATGACAAGTAACCACACATTTTTTTATACAGAGCAAAAGAAAGAAAGATGTAGGGATGGATGTACGATTTTTGTTATCGGCTGAAGCATCTTCTTGTTGGCATCCTTTTTCATAATTTACACCATCCCTACATCCCCCTTCATTTTGAAGAAATGATTTTTCTACTTGTTATTATAGGGATCGCTTGAAGCACCAAAAAGCAAGAAACAACGGGTCATTATACACAGCAAAGTTGCACAAAGCTACATGACACCATCCCTATATCTTTGTCCGATATTAAACTTTGCTTATAAGCAATAATAACAAAGATAGGCCAAATTGTAACTGTTGAAAGTAGTAGCTAATGGGGCTGCTAGCGCCTGAAGCAGGGGCTGCATTCACCTCATGTATATTGTCTTCAACAAGGATGTAATTAGATTATTGCACATGGTTGTGGTTTCATGGGGAGGCTTTGGTAATCAGGCTACAACCTGGGGGTGAGGGACAAACAAATGAAGGCCATTTGACTGAGCGCCCCGCAAGGCTCACGTAACACCGCTGAGACTCTGCCAAGTTGCTCTTCGTGCAAATCAACAGCAAGCTATATAGCCAGTTGGACAATGTGCACACTTGCTTACAGAAGGTATACTGGAGGCTGAGAGTTCCCCTGCAGGTCGCCTGGTAATACACTCGCAAGCGCATTGGACAACGCCCCTGCCTGGCGCATGCGCGCAGCTCACGGATGCGGCGTTATTCAGTGTCGACCATGGAAGAGCTCCATGATCTACCGTAGTGATTATAGCAGCAAGAAACAAAGCGACCGCTTGATGTCCGTGCACACCTCCGGCGAAATTGGAGACTTTCAGCGAAAAATCAGAGCTTGAACTGGTACTTGTAAGGGAGATAGCAGGTTTACTCGTATGATGTTTGGCTTAGTGCGCATGCGCGTCGGATTATTGAGGGCGTGACCTTGGTTTCGCTTGGTTTGTGCGCCTCTGAAGAAACGAGGGGTGTCCGACAAGCCATTATTTCGTCCGACGTTTTGCGTATTCGGACGTCGACTTCGTGCGCCAACCGCTCCGTCTAGGATATTGGTGAGCGGAAATATTTTGACAGTGGACAGCTACTTGTACTAGCTATCAGTGTATATGGCTGGATCTAGCCTCGGCCCTCTCTCTTTCTCTACAATGGATTGCTGGTGACCGACCACACTCTACCGCTATAATGTATTGCGCTGCGCGCTGTGTAAAAATGGAGTCTCGTTATGCACCCGGTACGCGGCACGCACACCGCTAATAAGCACTGCGCATGTGCGAGCTGAGTCCCCTTTGTCTGCCGAGTCCTCTGTGTCGGCTGTGTCCCTTGTGTCTTCTGTGTCCCCTGTGTCTGCTGAAGTCCTCTGTGTCTCCTGAGTCCTCTGTGTCGGCTGTGTCCCTTGTGTCTGCTGAGTCCTCTGTGTCGGCTGTGTCCCTTGTGTCTGCTGAGTCCCTTGTGTCTGCTGAGTCCTCTGTGTCGGCTGTGTCCCTTGTGTCTGCTGAGTCCTCTGTGTCGGCTGTGTCCCTTGTGTCTGCTGAGTCCTCTGTGTCCCTTGGGTCTGCTGAGTCCTCTGTGTCGGCTGTGTCCCTTGTGTCTTCTGTGTCCCCTGTGTCTGCTGAAGTCCTCTGTGTCTCCTGAGTCCTCTGTGTCGGCTGTGTCCCTTGTGTCTGCTGAGTCCTCTGTGTCGGCTGTGTCCCTTGTGTCTGCTGAGTCCTCTGTGTCCCTTGGGTCTGCTGAGTCCTCTGTGTCGGCTGTGTCCCTTGTGTCTGCTGAGTCCTCTGTGTCCCTTGTGTCTGCTGTGTCGGCAGAGTCCTTTGTGTCCCCTTTGTCTGCTGAGTCTTCTGTGTCTGCTGTGTCCCTTGTGTCCCCTGAGTCCTCTGTGTCGACTGTGTCCCTTGTGTCTGCTGAGTCCTCTGTGTCCCTTGTGTCTGCTGAGTCCTCTGTGTCCCTTGTGCCCCCCTGAGTCCTCTGTGTCAGCTGTGTCCCTTGTGTCAGCTGTGTCCCTTGTGTCTGCTGAGTCCCTTGTGTCTGCTGAGTCCCCTGTGTCTGCGGAGTCTTCTGTGTCTGCTGAGTCCTCTGTGTCGGCTGTGTCCCTTGTGTCTGCTGAGTCCTCTGTGTCCCTTGTGTCTGCTGTGTCGGCAGAGTCCTTTGTGTCCCCTTTGTCTGCTGAGTCTTCTGTGTCTGCTGTGTCCCTTGTGTCCCCTGAGTCCTCTGTGTCGACTGTGTCCCTTGTGTCTGCTGAGTCCTCTGTGTCCCTTGTGTCTGCTGAGTCCTCTGTGTCCCTTGTGCCCCCCTGAGTCCTCTGTGTCAGCTGTGTCCCTTGTGTCTGCTGAGTCCCCTGTGTCTGCGGAGTCTTCTGTGTCTGCTGAGTCCCTGTGTCTGCTGAGTCCTCTGTGCCCACCAGTGCACAGGAGTTTGTTAATGAGAGACACTGGTTAGCTAATAGCTGTCACTTTATACACTGTAGTCATTGGTGTTTGCTTTATTAAATAGCAATTCATAACGAGTCACGTTTTGACTGTCAGTTAGCTGTTATGCACGTCAAGAGCAGCAATTCATGACTCAAGACTTCAGTTAGCTATATGCATGTCAAGTGTGCCGGTCTGGTGGCTTTCTTTTCCTCTTGAGTGAATGAGGCTCATAATATAGTGATAATCATCTTTAGGCGTTTGCGTGATGTACAGCCATCTTGTTTTGCTGCAGAGAAAAAGCACTTTCATCAAGCACACAAAACATGAGTAATGCACAGGGTCAGCAACTAGTCCACATTACCTATCTGCTCTTCCTCGCTGGTCTGCTGTTCACTCTATGTGGGGGGTGGCTGCATAGCTGTAATATGAATGTGGTTGCAGCGTCAGACAAGAAAAGACTGTGTTCTGTAGCTAGTCCACATTACCTAGCTGCTCTTCCTCACATTGGCATTTGAATCTTCCAGGTTTGGTTGCTTCATTTCCATGCTCTTTTATTTGGTGGGCCTTCAGGTTATCCATGACTTTAAACACCCATCAATTGGGCATGAAAACTTCTAAATGAAATGAAAGGTAGATACCACAAACTATAAGCAAGGACTCCTAAGCAAGTGATCGAATATACCTGGTCGGAGATTGGCAGTACCACCGTCATTAACCTCGCTGCGCGCATGCGCAGCGGAGGGTTATTGCAGTCGGTCTCTGTGCGTGTGTGTGTGTGTGTGTCCGTGTGTCCGTCCGTCCGTCTGTCCACCGTTTTTCTCGGTAACTGCGGCAACTCTGAGCGTGAAACGTGGACATATTATCAAGTAGGAGGCATGCATGGTAAAATAAGATTCTGGAGCGGAGAAGGCCGGGGAAGCGGGCGAAACGGAGGGCTGCCGAGGTGAGTGTGCGTCAAATAGAGATAAAGACAGTTGAGTAGGAGCGAGATTCGAAACGCACCAATGCCTACTTTCTGGAGCGAGCTGCACTCTCCTGTCTACCTTTTGGAATTGATGACCCCAACATGTCTATCTACGCTGACAGGAAACAGCTTGATGTAGGCGACCTAGTGGCAATGGCGCGAAAACAGCCAACCTGAGTAGTGGGGCTCTGCAGCCAAGTTCAGCTCCCATAATATCTACCAACAACCCTCCAAAGGATGATCGAAGGTTAGTGGTAACTATTGTTCATTAAAACCCTCGCCTGCGCCTGCGCACATGCGCAGCGAGGGTTATTGCAGTCGGTCTGTGTGTGTGTCCGTCCGTCCACCGTTTTTCTCGGTAACCGCGGCAACTCTGAGCGTGAAACGTGGACATATTTTCAACTAGGAGGAATGCATGGTAAAATAGGATTCTGGAGCGGAGAAGCCCGGGGGAAGCTGGTGAAACGGACGGCTGCCGAGGTGGGTGTGCGTCAAATAGAGATCGCGAACCATCGTACTTAGAAGCTAGATGCTTTGCGTGTGTGGAGAAGATTTGCTGGTCTGGCTGTATTGATGGTACAGTTGAGATTGCCGGTGAAGTGAGAGCAGCACACGCCCCAGTGAATCCGTTCAGTGAAGGAGTCACTGAGGTAGCGTAGCTATAATAGTATGTAGCTGAATAGTGGTGAGGGTTGTCAAGACCAGTGCTTTTCACTTTGGTGTAGAAGTAGCTAACTAGTATCTAGTATTGAACGCGCATGTGGCAAAAACCGACGAAGTGTCGCAAGTAACCATTGGCTGCTGAAATAAAGAATAAAGTGGCGAGGGTTATGCACTTTCAAGTGCTTTTCATTGTAAATAAGCAGCTTACTTGTATAAACACCCTCCCCTCTCTCACACACACAATATATCATAGTTGTGGGTTGCTCAAGTGGCTGTTGTAACCTAATAATTCATGAATCGGAAGCTTTGATGTTATCAGCTACTACAGTACTCAAAACAGCTAAGTAATGGTTAGGTGTCTTAGTTAAGCTAAGACACCTGAGGTGTCTTAGTGGAGCTAAGACACTTGTAGATACTTCACATTTTAGAGTGTTCAGTGACATTTTATGTACAAGTTCCTGGAAAGTGTGAAATGGAATGTGGAATGACATAAACTCATGAAAATTTTAAGTGTGATACTTGATGAACAACTGAAATGACCAGCCTTTGAAATGTACAATAGTCCCCGCCTCCTTATCTAGTTTAGCCTTTTTAGGCAATGACTCATCCGCATCAATATTGGTGACATTCACATTCGTACAGTCATTTAGAACACTGGATGTTTGCTTTTTAAGTGTGCTTGTCGTGCGCTTGTATGATCTCATGCCTGTTGCACTACGATGACCAGTCCGAAGCATAATCAACTGTTCGTCCATTCCAGCTGCAAATAAACGTGTTGCTGCAGCAGTAGTCCGCAATGAATGGTCGATCAAGTAGTGAGCACACCACGTCTGCCTCAGTCTGAGCTAATCCAGAGGTACAGACAGTTCCCCACGCTCTGTTGTAGCAGATCTCGACGCGACCTTCGAGCGTCACAGGCACTCCAAACCTAGCAGAAGCGGAGGTTTCCGGTGACTCTACAGCATCTGGAGTCATAGAACTAGCCTCATCTTCATACTGCTGTGATGCAAGTAAGATACGATCTTCTCAGTTCACGGTGCTGTCTTCAGTGGAAGTGCTGTCGGCTGGCGCGACGACCTCGCGGCTCTCCAGATCGTCCTCGTCCCACCACCCGTAAGGAGCAACATTCATAGTGCACAATAGACTGCAGACTGACTGTCAGAACGAGCGTCGTTCAGTAGGCTGGTGCATTGCACAAGTTGAGGCGCGGCAGATTGCTATAGTAATTATCGTGGTCTAAAAGAGTTAGTCACCACAAGCGGTTTTTCAGTTTTGACAACCTCAGCAGGTTGGATAATCCCCTCGGCTGCGCCTCGGGTATTATCTACACCTGCTTTGGTTGTCAAAGCTTCGAAGACACCGCTTGTAGGTGACTAACCCTTATATAGCCTAGCTAGCAACCTCAATGTAAACATTGTTGGAGACAGCTGCACATGGCAACTTGTACACCCTCCCTTCTCTCACCCACACCCAGTGTGTATAATTCTTGTCATCTGTCATAGAACACTCCTTTGCTCCTTTGCTCATTTGACACCCTATGATTTCTAGGTTCAGGTCCGGATCTCTCATTGTTGCCTTTCGGAGTCCTTCAGTTGGACCGAAGGACTCCACAGAAAAAGAGAAAGAAACATTGGAGGCTTCGTCACTCCCCAGCCACCATCCAAGCGGCTATTCGCTCACTAGACTGGGGGCTGGCTTCTGATTCTAAAGGCTTCTTAGACCCTGCAAAAACGACTGGATCAATCATAACCCGCAAAACTGGCCAGCGAAAGAGAGCTGCAAACATCTACCTATGGAAGCTACCCCAGGAACTACAAAAGGCCATCAAGAAAGGTGAACTAAACAACCACAACCATAGAACAGTTTAAGTTTTAGCGACTCCAATCCCCTTGCTGTCATTGTGTGCCTAATGTAAAGTTTGAATGGCAGTTAAAAACTTCAACGTGTTTCTTCCAAACAGCCACAGAGCCACCACAATAATTATGAATCGACTTCTGATACAGATCAACAAGAGCCAGGTAGCTAGCTAGCCAAGTAATGGCTAGACACTTTGTGACAGGCCACTAAATTACGATTTGAACTAGTGAAGTTTAACCCACTATAATAATACCTTTCTTTGCACAGCCACACCTCCTACCCCAGTGCTATGCAACTACTCAGAGCTGTCTGAAGGCGGCGGCGAGGTAATATGGACTAGCTACATCTTTTTTTGTGTACCACAATTTAAAATGCAGCTATGCAGCCACCTCCCACATCGAGTGAACAGCAGACCAGCGAGGAAGAGCAGATCACTAAGTACGGTAGTACTTCGTATCACTAAGTACGGTAGTACTTAGTATATAGGGATTGGCATGGTACTAGCATCATTGATGTATGGGGCTATGATAGGGAGTTTTGTTCATCTTCTTCTTCTTCTTCTTCTCCTTCTTCTTCAGATTCAACACCCATAACTCAAAAACAAAACAACATATAGTAATGAAATTTTATAAAAATGGAGATATCCGTCCCCCGAAGAGACTGGTCATACTTATATCTTTGTAAACAGCAACAAATAGCCCCAGGCAATACATTATAAAGGGATCACATGTGTCAGTATAACTCACCAATGGTAGGAGCTATGCGAACGAAACTTTGTAGACATAATGTATTCAATCACCAACATCAAATTACAACAATACATGTTTGTAAACAACAACAGATAGCCTCAGGCACTTTTCTTTAAATTTACTTTTTCACTCCTCAAACTCTCCAATGGTAGCTAGCACACATAGAGATGAAACTTGGTAAGTATGCCTATTATATCATGATTTACATGTTGCCATGATGACCGCAGTTTGTTTGAAAAAGCCTCGGGCAATTTTCTATAAACTACTTCTTCACTCCTCAAAGTTGCTAACTGTAGCACGCATGGAGGTGAAACTTGGTGCGCATGTGTATTACATTGTTTCCATGACAACCACAACAACAAATAGCCTCAGGCACTTTTCACTTCTTCACTCCTCAAACTCGCTAAAGGTACCACGCATGGAGATGAAACTTGATACGCATGTGTGTAACATCGTTTCCATGACGACCACAACAACAAATAGCCTCAGGCATTTATCTTTAAAATTCTTTCTTCACTCCTCAAACTTGCTAACTGTATCACGCATGGAGGTGAAACTTGGTGCACATGTATATTACATCATTTCCATGACGACCACAACAACAGGCACTTATCTTTAAATTTATTTCTTCACTCCTCAAACTCGCTAACGGTACCACGCATGGAGATGAAACTTGGTACGCATGTGTGTAACGTAATTTCCATGACAACCACTTTATTTGAACAACAACATTAATAGCCTCAGGAAATATTCTTAAAAATTACTACTTTATTACTCAAAATTGCTAATAGTACCACACATGGAGATGAAACTCGGTACACGTGTGTATTACATCATTTCCATGACAGCTGCAGATTATTGACAATAGCCTCAGGCACTTTTCTACATTGCTTGGACCCTTGGTACAAAATGCGTATTACTCAGCATGTTTGTAAACAACAACAAACGGCCTCAGGCACTTTTTCTTTCTTTCCGCGCACGCCGCAACGTATTATATACCATTATTGACCGTTGCTAGGTGGTTGCTATGTTTATTGTGCTACTATAAATCAGCTAATGCACCAACGAGGTGTTAAGGTGACAATATGCACCGTGGTTAGTGCTTATATCTGATATAAGCACTGCGCTTAAATTGCATCATAGCAACTTTCCGTGTTCTTGGGAACGAACTTCTTTTCCAGCGTCTTAACTTTAGCACCGCTAAAAACAAATCGCTCACTGTACTCTTGACTCATGGGCTCTACTTACTTCCCTAATGCCAGACAAAACCTCAGCTTCTTGCCCGTGCGGGATTGATCATCGTCCTCAGCCTCGCTTTCTGAAGTTCACTCTTCGACACTTACGCGAAGAGGGCTTCGAGACCTCTTTGCCATGACTTGCAACAGAGCGCAAAGCGAGGAGAAATGCCAGTGGGAGCCCCGCACACGTGAAAGCGCGGCAGAAGATGCAAAACCACAAAATGCGCGTGTAGGCGACGGTAATTGACGTCATAGCACCTAGCAACTATCAATAAACTAATTATCACACCTTTGTGTCGTGCTCTTGCGGTTTACAAAACAAAACAACCCAAAACAAAATGGCCGCGCCCTCGGGCGCTTACGCGCCTCGGGACGTCGGCTTGTAATCAGTAACAGCACTCTAAAGGGTGTAATAACTACTATATATTGCGCATGCGCGCACGGAAGGGGCGCCAGACCGTTACCTACGCAACCAAGAAGCAGCTGCTCGCTCACTTGCACGAGTGTTAGAGCAGCACGAGAGACTGCTGTTCGTGCGTGGCAAGTCCATCCTCCGAAGCCAAAATGGTCTTGGGGCGATTGTTTAGACTGGGCTGACAGGAGACTGGGCTTTTCAACAAAGGCAATCCGAGTACACACAGACCGGCTTACTTCTCGGGCGGTTGCTATTACCGTGCCATTCGACCGTAAACGAGCTTGTCTATTACAGGACGGATACATATTTGCTGAGTAGCTGCATTTAACGTGCTTGCTTGATAGAGTCTGTTCCATTCGCGGCTAGCTATTCTTATAGCTCCTGCACGTGTTGGCAAGATGCCGTGACGAATAGATACAGGAACGCTACCAGAGAGCTTTTATTAAACCAGGGAACGGCCTCAAATGAGCCTCAATGTAGTACAGATGCTAGAAGAGAAGCGCTTTTTATGAGGAAAACTCGGGGAAATCCTGAGCACTCGCACGAAGGAATATGCTTTCAAGTGCGAAAAGAAGAACGAGAGCCATGAGGGAGAGCTACCAAGCTAACCCCGAAGCTGTGAAAAAGCAGAGGAAAGGGATAGCTACAAAGCTATACCCTTTGAAGCAAATGCAAAGAGAGAGGATAGCTACAAAGCTAACCCGACGCAAAGGAAACGGGATAGCTACAAAGCTACCCGAAGCAAAACAAAGAAAAGGAAAGGGTAGCTACAAAGATAACCCCGAAGCAAAAAAATCACGGAATGGGATAGCTACCAAGCTACCCTGCTGGTAAGAAAAAAGAACGGCAACAGAAAATTACAAGAAAGAAACCACAAGGAGCAGCGACAAATAAGCACAATGCAAAATACTTACGAGAACAACCGCTCCCATTGCTCTGAGACAAATTGGCTGCATACTATAGTACATATGGCCTGTCTAAAAGAGCAGCAAGACTGGTGCTTCGTGCAGGAAGTACATGACTGAGAGGAAAGCAGAAAATTTTCAGCTGTAGCTACTCATTACATGAGCATAAGCAGCATACGAGAGAGGCTCTATGTGAAAATCATGAATATTCCCATAAAGCTACGAAATAGCTACCCATGCTTTGAAGCCACAAGAACAGAGGGTTACTATCAAGGTCAAAGCTAGTAGCTGGAGAATGCTGTTCGCAACATTGCTGTACGAAGGTACGAGCAAGCATTGAAAAAGAGAAAGAGGTGTTGGTAACTTTCTGGCATGGTGAGGAAGGTTACCGACCTAAAATCTCCATCGATGATTTGGGGATTGTTGCCACATGGCATCATCAGAGTCGACTTTTATGACAGAGTTATGCCAATGGCAAAAACACAAAAAACTCCCATTCTGTTGACGAAAAAGGGATGCATGTCGTTGAGAGGGAAATTTGGGTTCGAGAACCTCGAGCCACTCCAATCCTGTGGACGAGCAAGGAAGGTGTGTGTTCTTGCACAGGAAAATGGGTGAAAGAAAGAGTCCAAAAACCCAACACCGTCAAGATGGAAGTGCACTTCAGAGTGCAAGCTTCCTACAGCAGATTGGATGAAAGTATTGTGACTTGAAACTCAATGTTGAAACGGATGCGCACACTACTGGCAACGTCTAGATGCTGTAGACAGTGGGTGTCAGATATGGTCACTACACGTGTTATAAGCTACCGCGCGTGATATAGCGGTCGTCCGTTGACGTTTGTACTGTGCTGGCATTGCGATCGTTAAGTTGAGGACTCTCAGAGCAGCAGCGCCGCACTACCCTATGCTGCGAAGCTTTCTTACAACATTGTATGAAGCTATTCGCTACCACAAGCTCATTGCCAGGCATGGACACTGCCACACAAAAAACTTTAGAGCAGGCACATTTGCATACGTTGCATTGTTGTGTGGCAGTGATGATACATGAAGCTGTTCAGTGCAATAGCACAGACAATCACGCTGATGTGAAACAAAGCCAGCCCGTGTTTGACTTCAGAAGCCAAATCTGCCTGACATTGAGTCAGTGTTGCATGTAGAGCATGCGGAGATGTTGCAGAGTAGAGAAAAAACTAGGCAGATGATCCAGCAGTTCGCCTGCGCAGCTGTGATGCAGCGACACTTCAGAGAAAAAATGTCACTGCTTTTGAGTTCTCTTAATCGAAAAAATTCACGTCAAACATGTGGCAAGTACTCAGGGAGTTACATGTACATGTTGGATCCGAAGCACAAACAAGACACATATGTGTGTCAGTACGCCGGCCCATCTGAACCAGGACAAGCTGCTGTCCAGGTGTGTTCTGAACGTTGGAAGAGGTAAACAACAAAGTTGATGGTGCAGTCACTGGGCTTCCAAACCTAGAGCTGTACATCATCGTCAACTCAAAAGTCCAGACCAACAAGTGGTTTGGCAGAGCCTCATCGATATCTGTGCACTCAGAGATGCTCTCAGGAAACTGAAAGATATCAACTGGGTGTATGCAAAATATAGACGAAGCCAGCCTAGATGATGCAGCACGTCATATCATTGAATGTGTCAGTGACACTAGCAGTACAATGCTGCAAAAGGTGAGTGACGACGACGTTAGCTCTACCAGTCGTACACTATCAGACGCTGGACAGAAGGAGCCAAACGTTCCCGATACCAGTACAAGCTCAGCAATGTCAAGGGGGATGCTCTGAGCAACAATTGCAGCTTTGGATGTTATGGTGCTTTCCACTCTGTTTCCGAGTGGGAGGTTTGGAGGGGGACACCAGCGTGAAGTTAAGCTGTCTTCTAGCGAATACATGAAATCACGTCTCCTACACAAAGACGGTCGTTTTCGCAAGGACGACCAGTACGTGTTTTTATCTGCTCTGGCAGAAGAGAGTGGGACCAACTGAGCCGGTCCGGTGTGTGCAACTTGTTCAAGGCACACGGCAGCATGCAATGACAGTTGGCGAATTTATGGATCGAGTGTCCAAATCTGACGAGCACATTGAAGGCCAGCTATCCACTGTGTTACAGAGTGTCCGTCTCCGAGCAGTTCTGGTATCTGCGCCGATGAGATCTTTGCCCGAGACGAGTGGTTTGGTGGGTGAACGTTCTGTTTGTGGGAGACATCCTGCAACTCCCACCAGTGAATGGAGCAGCTGTTTTTGAAGAAGATCACAACCGATCGTAACAACCAAGTCTGTAGCATGACTCGGTCAACATCTGGCAAGAGAACGTGGTCTACGTGATTTGACCATCAACGAACGCCGAAAAGGACCAGGCATTTAGCTCCATGT